GGAAAGAGAAAATATCTTGACCAAAAATTGAAATAATTTATTAATAATAACAACAATCATCTACTGAGTTCTTCCATGTACTTACTATACACCTGTGCCACTTGTTCACTGTGTGGTATAACATATCCTTGATAAACTTCCATAGTCATTGTCTAGTAAGAAAAGTATGTATTTTTTATTCTAATAATATTCTGTTTCAGGCTATTCATAAAATTCTTTTGTCCAAATTAGTGGACTCTGTCAAAAAGTCAGAGTTATTCCTCAAGTCTGAGGGAATAGTGTCTTCTCAGTGGATCTAGCTCTCCTACTCTACAGAGCCTCAGTTCCCAAGTTCTATTTTAGTTTTCCAGCACTCTAAATTCCCTCACTGCCCTATTACTTCCTTATTTCTAACCAGATTAGATCCTCATGCCTGACAACCTGTGTTACTTCATTTGTGTGCTGCTGGGAGAACCCTGACCTTTCTGTTTAGCCACTCTGCCCTCTACTGTTGCCAGTGGCTTGCACTTGCTGAGGACGGCATCTGGGGATTGGAGATGAGCCCTGACTGCAGATAAAGCAAAGTAAAAAAGTCTCAAATCTCAGCTATATGTTTTAACTCAATGAACCAACAAGTCACATTTATAAGTATCAAGCTTCCTACCACTACGGCCCATTTTATCCTCTTATTTTGTGGCTAAATTCTCATCTGCTCTGCCTACTTCTATTGCTTCACCATTTCTTTCTCTGTCAGGTCCATGAGGGCCAGGGCTGCAAGTGTCTTGTCATAGCTGCTACCCTGGTGCCCACTGAAGATAAATTTTCCCTAGGTAAATCCATTGTTATTTCTTTATTCTTATCATTCAGTTTCAAATAACAGTTTACATATTTTTAGAAGTATTCTCATCATTCTGGATCCTTCCATCACATTCTACATCCTGGCAGCCAACTCTTCATGTCTTCAATGACTGTTTTTTCCTTCTCCTCTTAATTTTCCTTTCTGGCTTCTTTTTTTCACCGTATCCCTTACATATGGTTATTTTATAAGGCTTTATTCCATATTTTCTTCTTTCTTTTACATTAATTCCTTTAATTATGAGAAAAGGGGCAGTGTGGGGGAAAGCACAGAGGGCTCTCTTATCACCATAGCTTTAATGGGTACCTTAAGGCTCATTTCTTTCTCTCTCTTATCTTTAATCTCATTTTGCTTTCAGAGCATCTCTATCTGGAGGCCCTAGCTGACATCCAAAAATTAACATTCTAACAACTAATCTCATTAATTTTCCTCATGGACAGGTACTATTTTCCCCCTCAATTTCCTCATTACTAATAACACACCATTATTGTTTTGATATCTCATATCAAAACTTTAGAACATTTTAATTTTTTTGAATACCACGTCAAAAATGATAACATTTGTTGATTCTTTTTATATAATATACCCTCATTCCAATCCATCTCTTCCTTTCCACACCTATCACCAATTACTCTAGTTTAGATCTATATTTTCTTATCCCCTGTTTATGTATCTGTGGATCCCTTATAAATTATCATCATTTTCATCTCTCACAAAGAGCAAATAGAATAAATGTCGACATCTAGTTAGTCCTCTATTAAAAAAATTAGTGTTTTTATTGTTGTTCTTTTTTGGTGGCAAAGAGAGGCTGATCTTTGGAGAATAATATCCACTGATTTAGCAAAAAATAAATAAAAATAATAAACACAGACACATATACACAGATACATATTAGCTCAAGAATTCTTCCTAAATCAACAGGAATCCTATAAGCCATAAATGATAAATCATACATGCAGAACAATTAAGTTTTTAAATTACATGTGATATTGACTAAACATGAGTTCACATTTGTACATAAAGAGATCAGATTTTCACCAACTAATTATTCACCAACTAATTCAACCAAAATATTTAGAGTGCTTGCCTCTTACAATTTTATAGATTTACTGATGAGAGCCTCAACTTTTAAAAAATATTTAAGCTCTAAGTGAAGTTGTAACTTATAAAACTTTGGTTTGAGGTTGGGTGCCACGCACTAGGTTGAGCTCATGTGAGCCTTACCTGTCATCTCTTTGGCCTGCTCCACGATACGGTGATTGAGAGCCTCTTTTTCCTGCTTCAGCAAAGTATTTTCTTCTTTCAGATTTGATACCAGCTATAAAATGAAACAATAAACTGAGGTGGCTGCAATAGACAGATGAAGCCTGGTACTAAGTTTAAAGACCACATGGCAGTCGCTCCTTCCTTCCACATCTCTGTGCCTCATTTCTTTGCCTAGTTAGTTATCTTTCAAACTTGGCTCAAGCATTACTTGCTCCAGAGAGCCTTCCTAAAAACTCTCTCCAAATAGATGCCTCTCCTTTAGGCTACTACAGAACCTTGTATATGCCTCTTTATAACCCTTATAAATAATTTACTTTTACTTCCCTTATAGACTAGATATTCCTGGAGGACAAAGATGATTGCTGTTGTTGTTTTACTTTGAACTTTGAGCATTTAGCAACTGCCTGGCACCTAGTAAGCATTTGCTCTTAAAGCAAGGATAATGTCCTCTCATCGGCCTAGCACAAAGCTTATATGAATCTATGATTCAAGTTGGGAGACTGACGAGGTTAAGAAAAATATGAAGGGCATTTTGGTTCTGGAAATTTGCTGAAGACTTCTGTCTAGAAAAAGAGAACTTCCCTTTCATCCCCCTTTAAGAGTTTTATAATGTTGCGAACTAGTCTTTTGAGTCCATGTTTAAGTATTGACCTTACAACAGTGTGAATGTACCTAATGCCACTAAACTATACATTTAAAAATGGCTAATATGATAAATTTTATATTATGAATATGTTATCACAATTTTTTAAAAAAGCAGTGAACTTTAATTTTCCAGTTCCTGGTTGGATAAGGATTCCCAGAAAGCAAAAATCAAAATCAAAGACAACTTTGCAAAGTTCATAATTTATTCAAGTAGTTCACCTTTGGAATAAAATCTGTGCTTCTCGTGAGTGAAATCTGAATTTCCTTTCTTTAAGCCTAAATTCAAGAAGCTCTAAAAATGATAGCTTTAATAATAATGAGAAAGTATCAGGAGTTCAGAGACAGAGAAAGAGGGCTCTGTGACTAAAGGTCCCTGAAGAACAGGGAATTAGATAACAACACTGTGTCACGGCAGAAGTTGGTCCAGAAGGTGTTCCTTCTAAAGGTCCAGCCTCTTCCCTCCATACTGATATGCCCTTAAATATTCGCCCTCAAAGTAAAGGCCTCAATTCTCTACGTGCTCTTGAAAGAAGCTGCACTTTGTCAGGGGAGTGCAACCATTACCTGTGGTGCTTTTTCAAATACATGTGCCTAGCCCACAGTCCTAGAGCCTGGGCAGGTATATATTTACAAATTTCCTCCTGGTTAAGAACCATAGTTCTAGTGTACCTCCTAGGCTCCTTGCTCAGGCTAACTGATAATGTAGCTTTCCTGACCATGAAGCAGGCTGTCACAGTGAAATTTCTTCATTTTTCCCCATTACTACACTCTATCCAAAAGAATTAGTGATAGTGCCTATACCTATCCCTGTGAAAAGCAGAAGATAATATAATAAAAAGGAAAGAGAAATGTGAATCCGCTTATATGTACTATTCTATCATACTAGAAAGGTATGGACTTGACTTTAAAGAGGAAAAGAGACTAATCCTACCAAGCTTAAATACTCTATAAGATTCAGAGGAATCTGGAAAGCTTCTGTGGACTCAGGATATGAGAGAGAAAGAGAGGGCGAGACAGAGGGGCGGGGAAAGAGAGAGAGAAAAAGAGAGAGAGAGAGATTGGTCTTTAGCTTCAAAAGTATTTCTTTGAATGTATATTTGAATTCTGACAAAACAAGCTTTCCATGTCAAAATAACATATATTAATGGCATTGCTGTTTCCATATACAGAGTCCAGATGTATTAGAGATATAGGAGAAATTATTAGGACTCTGAATACCATGGAAGGACTGCAATTTTATTAGCTACACTATCCTACCCGAATTGAATCTCAGCTTCTCACGCCATGTGCTGTGGCTAACGTTCAGAAGTTAGCACAGAAATAGCCTATTGGGGTTCTCGTCCATAGTTACAGCCAACAGAGTCAACTCTGTTTTAAAGAAGCTCAGGTAGTGGAATCTCTGAAAACTACTTTTCCCAGTAAGTTTTATGCTGAGGTACTTTTATTTTATTTAAACAATACATCTCATTACTGCTTGAGAACCTTAAGGTATTTTAAAAAAGTGTCTTTTTTAAACACTTACAGCACCTGGTCTTCCTAGGTGGTCTCCCATCCAAGTACTAACCAGGCCCGACCATGCTTAGCTCCCGAGATCAGACAAGATCGGACACGTTCAGGGTGGCATGGCCGTAGATTGTATTTAGTAAAGTTTTGACATAAGTTAATACAAATTTGTAGTGTGGAAGCACTGATCAATCTGTAAGGATTTTTTCCCTTTCATTCTTTCTTTTTCTTTCTTTTTTGGTTCTATTTGCATAGCGGCTCTTGGTTATGTACAGTTATTTGGATTTCTTCCTCTTATACTTATCACAACCTTAATGCCAGTTTCCCTAAAGGTCTCTAGTATCAACTAGAGACAGTACTGACAGTTCACTGTTTGTCTCGCTTCTTAATCACATTAACCCTAGGATTCTACACTCCATCTAGATCTACAAATTTAAAGAAGAACAGTGTAAAGTAGGGACTTGGCCATTAATTCTCTTCTTATAATACTGCTTTTCTTATATTCTCATTGGAATCAAAAGATTCTACTAAAGACCTACAGCTACTTATCCATCATGTGGAACAAATGCTTGGAAAATGCTAGTAATGAACAGTCAACCAACTGAAATTTGTATTTCAGCTCAGATTGAAACCAGCATTGAGCTACAAGGGACAAGTCAATGTGACAGCACATTTCTTTTGTGAAAGGAGTAAATGGGGATATGAATATTAGTTCCTTCCTACCTGCTCAGTTTCTTGTTTGTATCTATCAGCACGTTCCTCAATGGATTTTTTGTCTGATCGAGTTTGTTCCAGGTCTTTCCGGAGCTTGGCAATTTCTTCCTGTAGACTAAGGACCCGTCCAGTGGCAATCTTAGCTTCCTCCTCACTTAGTTGAAGACGTTCTAAGTCATTTCGTAGTTTCTCAGTCTCAGAGTTGTATATTCCTTCCAGATTGGTCAGCTTCTCCATGAGGCATTTGTAGTCTTTGTTCTTTAAACACACACATAAGTAAAAATTAGTAAATATACACACCATCAAAGGTATTTAGTGAGAAAACTAGGCTTATTCATCATATTCGTGCTATATGATCACAGTACTGATGTAGTCTCTAACCAAAATTCTAACCACAACATTTACAATAATGCAATCAATACCCTCTTATTGGTACAAAGAGAGAACAGGCATTTTACTTCTGTTTCACACGATGAGCAATATAGATGTGCTTTCCCCGTAGTCAAAAGGTAAGCTACCACAGAAAATTCTTAATTTCCTGATTCTTAATCCAGAAATAGGAAAATCTTGCTTTTGAAAACAAATCAATGTGCCAGTAAATGCCATGTGCTAGCCAGGTGATGCATAAGAATGATAAAATGGCTTCAAAATCTCAAGTTTCTTACAAATCTCTTTATTATCTGATAACTCCTCTCCCCATTCAGAAAACTCCTCTGATGAGCCCTATTTAATTTTGTTTTTCTGTGCCCTTCTTAGTATTTACATATTACTAATTACTTTTATATCATTTGCATGTGCTAAAATACTTAGTAACTATCTCTAGGAAATCAAACTTTTATCTTTGCAAATAGGCTGTAGATTTCTCAGAAGCATGAACATCTTCCTAATTTTTTTGCCATATAAGTGCTTAATAACTCACCTGCAAAAGAAACAGTATACCACATGCAAATAAATGGTAATGATGATAAAGCTTTGTAAAGATTAAGCACAATATGGCTCTCAGTCATAAAAGTTTGGAGTGTTAGTAAATCTAGCTTTGTTCTCAAAAATAATTTCCTGCTTTAGTCCTTGACATTACAGTCTTACCTATGAGTTTGTCACTATTTTCACATTCATTACTGTCATTATCATTTTATTTTTATGCTAGGTCTGAAAGGTAAGGTCAAGAGGAGATGACGTTGAACAGAACCCCAGTGAATTTCCTCAGGCATTCTCACTTTCAGGGCTCCTGTTTAAAACCCACCTGCTCATCAACCTTGCGCTGCAGCTGCATGATCTTGTTTTCCATGCCGATGTGGAGTTTCTTATAGCGTTCCACGGAGCGGGCCTCAATCTTGAGCTTCTTCAGCTCGCGCTTGGCCATCATCCGCCGGAAGCAGCACTGGAGGTAGATGATGGCATGCATACTCCTCTTATAGTAGGTGCGGGCCAGCCAGCCCCGGACCCACTTCTGAATGATGACTGCTTTGTGCTCACGAAGTATCTGCAGAGAAGGATAAGTGCATAATATCAAGCCCTGGACCAGACTCAAGGTTCAACTCTACCAACTTATGTCTGTCAGGCCAAGAATACATATATTACCTAAAGGGAAAGACACGAAAGCTGAAGTAACAATATATTATGTGGATTATATGCATCACAAATATATGGAAGCACAAAATTATTTTTAAAAGTCTACTTTTTAAATCAGAGTACACACGTAGAAGCTGTCTAAATAAAAGGTATCAGATTACTAAAAGGAAAACTTCCAAAAAGAAAGAAAAAAACCATTAGGTTTCTTATCAGTATATAATGTCTGTTAGTAACATGTGATCGTCTATAAAATGAACAGAACTTGGTATCCTGTGAATTACATGCTACTAAAATAAAAGTCCCATCATCCTTACCACTGATACCATCTCACTGTGCAGTAGGTCTATGTTTGAGGATATGGAGTATGGCCAGTAAGCTGGCTATAAAGGCTAACACTTGGAATACTGCAAACTTTATTACTGATTTATTAATATTTTTCCCCAAAAGCAGAAAAATGACACTCTTGATCGCCTTATTTGAGGAATACCATTCTAGTGAGGATTTCCCATTGCTATTTCAAATGTAGCAAGAATCCACTTCAAGATTCAAAGAAAGTATGAATAAAGTTTTAAAAGGAAGGCTGAAACTAAGATGAAGTGAAGTAAATGAAGTAGGTCTGGGGCTGGCTGGCTTGGACCCTAAATTTGACTTTGTTATATATATATTTTTTAAAAAAGATATTCCCTTAAAGTTATAAATAACTAAAACAAAAAAAAAAGGTTACCTTATAAGGTGGATTTGTCACTAATGACTATCAAGCAGAGATTGTATAAACAATTTCCAGGAATGATGGAGAAGAAATTCTTGAAATTTATAAAAGTTGAACTAACAAAACCTTCTAAGGTCCTTCTAAGTCTATGATTTTATGAACAACTCTTATATGACATAAATGATATTTAAATGTATGCACTTGATTAAGTACTTTTAATGCTTATTACAAATGGATATAATGTATCTCTTATGACATTTCTTAAATGTAAGCATCTCTGAAACCATCTATTCAAAAAGATAGCAGTTTAATGGAATCAGGAAAAGAATAGTTCCTATTTTTAGGTTATGTACCTGAGAAAAATAATGAAAAAATGTGCCATTTTAAAGAATACATTTAAGAAATAAGTGGTTAAATTTTAAACCATCAAGTACAAACTAAAACATAAGTGTTTAGCAGACCCTAATAGCATCTTTAGCTAACTCAAGGCTGCCTCCTTCAGCTGTTTTTCTATTGCTAAGGGCAGCCTTCAGTTTTCACTAAGTGCAGTCACTGTGCATCACACCGCAGAGAGGCTGGGCATCCTGAGCTCTCCCTAAATATCAAAATTCCAAGGGAGCCCCTTGTTTTATCCAGATGACTAGTGACCAACTGGACAAGACTCAGTGATGGTAAATTGAAGGCTTTCACACTTTAAAACTCAAGCAGCACAGTGGCAAAGCTATTAATGCCCATTTTCCTATTCCATTTCCTTTCTCCATGTATATTCAGACATTGGTCCATTTCCGTAGCTTCAGTCAAATGGAAACAGTATATAATTAGAGATTTCATTCTCAATCTCATTTCCATTAGTGAGTCAGAGAAATTAAACAAAACTTCTCTACCTTAAAGACTCTCAAGTACCATGAAGGAGAGCTTGGATTAGAGGCAGAGCCAGAAGGAACACTAATGAGGTGCTTTTGGCCTATATATGAGCTAACCTCTTACCTGCCACCCCCACTGTATCGTCAGAGTGGGAGATGAGCTGGCCAGAGCCTGTTACTGCTAAACCAAATTGTCTTAAAACCCTATTCAGATGTTGCTGAGGAGAGCAGTGAGGAAAACGGAAGGGTCAGCAGTTTGGTGTATCTAAAAGGTCAAGTTTAATAAGGCGTTTCCCTCCCTGAAAGCTCATGCTTGTAGAGAAAGAATACCAGACCATAAAGCTGGCATGGGCAGAAAGAAAGACCTGTAGTAGCTGTCTTCAAATTTTCTTTAAAACACAGTAACATGCTAATTCAAGCCTCATTAGCTTTCCAATTTTTTTGTTGTCTAAAATTACTTCAAAAGAAAGTAAAACACATACATGAATAGGACCTAGGTCACACCACATACTGCCTGTGATTAGAGACATGTTCCTCAAATCACTGTATTGATGCTCCTTCTAACAGTAGTGCCCACAAAGCACAAAGATCTGGACTGGATTTTCTAAAGGATACACTCAAAATCTTGCCAAAATGAAAGAGAAAAAACCTTTCAACTAGATCATATATTGCCAGAGGTGATGATGAAGATCAACCTGGTGATCCATTATCTATAGTCATGTTGATTATTGCTAGATATAAAGATTATTTGTCAAAAACTTTTACAGCATCATATTCCAATCAATATAAGTTTAACTACATTAATGTTATTTATTTCCTTTTCACAATGGTAAATTATTCCAAGGTTATTTCTTTCTTGGAACAATCTTCTACCCATCTATCATATATTTGATCTAGTCAAAGCTTACTGTAGTCAGCTGAATAAAGACCCCCAAAGATATCAGATCCTAATCTTTGGAATCTGTAAATGTTATCTTATTTGAGAAAAGAGTCTTTGCAGATATGATTAAAAATCTTGAGTTGAAGAGATTATACTAGATTATTCTGGTGGGCCCTAAATCCATCATAAATATTCTCATAAGAGACAGACAAAAAAAGCAAAGTTAGACACACAGAGGAGACAATGATGTGAAGATGGAGGCAGAGAGTAGAGTGATGTGGTCGCAAACAAAAGAAATATTGGCAGCCACCGGAAGCTGAAAGAGGTAAGGAACGGATTCTCCCCTAGAGCTTCTGGAGGGAGTGCAGCCCTGTTGACACCTTGATTTTGGCCCAGTGATACCGATTTTGGATTTTTTGGCCTCCAAAACTGTGAAAGAATAAATTTCTGTTGTTTTAAGCAACCAAGTTGGTAGTAATTTATTATAGCAACCACAGGAAACTCATACAATATTTTTTCAAATTACACAGACAAGAGGAGAAAAAGGAGGTAAATTTTCTTTTTCCACTGTCTTGTTAGTAAATATATGTACTTATTTAATATTTAAAATTATTTTTTAAATGTTGGTTGTCTCCAGATGGTTCCTACATCCATAAGGAGCCCCTGTGGTGACTTTGTATAGATGTGGCATTTGATTAATGTTAATGGAATGAATAAACAAAGTTGAAAATAATGGCTCACCTTGTGATACCTATTTCTGGCCAAGTAGCCTCGCAAATAAGACTGAAGAGCAACAGTGGCAGCTCGTTTAACCTTGTACCTCCTTCGGACTATGAACATACGCCAGTACTTCTGAAGGACGGTTGCTGCCTGGGTTCTGCGCAGGAACTTAGCATAGCTGGCCAAAGAAAAGAGTGGTGCACTTGTCGGTCATCAGAAAAACCCAGGGATATATTTTTTAGAGATTTAAAGCACTAATATCTTTGTCATAATAAGTAGTACTTTCATGTTACTATTCTAATAACGTACTTGTTAAATCAACGTTTATATTTCTTATATTTGTATAGCAATTTATAGTTCCCCAAAATAATTCTGCATCCATTATCTTATTTGAGCCTTCCCTAACCCTGAAAAGTAGGATGCCCCATTTTACCTGATTTTATGATAAAGAGAGTGAAACTCATAAAGGTTCATTCTTTCTAGGACAATGCTCATTATCCCAGGCTATGTCTCCATTACACAGCAGACCAGCTGTGCGTAGAAACCCCACACTTACTTATCACCAGCTTCTTACATCCATTCATTGCTAATGTGTGATATTTTTTGAAATCTGTTTGGACATAAAGTCTTTATCATTAATTCATTTCTACTGATATTTCTAAATTAAAATTATTCTAATAGGTAATCACACTGAAGTGTAGTTCTAGAAAGCCCTTCTCAGTTAATTGCTTCTGAAAGCTCCTCAATGGAATCATTGTTAGGTAGCTCATGTTTATGACTGTTTTAGTTCACAGATGATTTCTTCAAACCCATATAAAAGTATAAAAAATAAAAATTACTGAGGACATGAATACACAGTAATTTATAATTTTTGAGAATGAATCTAAATCACTCGAAAGGGTGAATGAAATTTTATTCTAATTAACTATCTTATGAGTTAATTTGTTATTCCTTGAATCTAAGAAGAGGTGAGGCATTGCCTTCTCAGGTAAGATGACCACCCACAACTGTCCTAGGTTGGGCAATGTATCAGATGGAACCTCTAATCTTAGGAGCCATGAGCCACAGAGCACAGATCCCCAGGAGACCTACCATCGGGCCTGGTATCCTCGCACGTATCTCTGCACGGTGATGGCCGCTGTCCGCATGCGCAGGTACTTCTTCCGCAGCAGCCACCCGCGGATTGTCTTCTGAATCCGGATGCAGGCCGCCCTCAGCTTGTCTGCCCTCAGCTTTTCTAGGTAGGCCACTTGGCCAGCACGAAAAAAGATCTTTGTTTTACCAAACTGGTATTTGTCCTTGTCCTGTTTTTGGAAGAAATTGTATATTCAGAAATAGAAATAATGATCACATAAATAAAATCTTAAAAGAGAAAAAATATGCCTAAAAGCAGAATCAGTAAAAGGATGAATCTATAAGCTAAAAGTTGGGCTACATCATGATTAACTAATGGAGCCAGATTTTTTTATCCTATGCAAGGTGAGCAAATAGAAGGGATTTTAAGGAAAACTGCAGTTTAATAAGAATTATTTTCCAGAATTATTCTACCTGGAATTATTATCTGAGGCCAAAAACTTGGTTCTGGGTTATAAACAGCTACTATTTGCTTGTTTGTTTTTTAAATATCTCAAGGAAATGGAGATGCTGACACTCCCTCTGACTGACCCAGGCTGTAAGGATTACATCGGGCTGTATGCTCCATGAGAAAAGCTGAAGGGACAAAAACACCAGTATAAAGAATAAGGCAGGAAGTTATGCAGAGAAAGTAAATATTAAAAACAAAAAAACCTTTGCATATTCATATTAAGAGTTAAGTTTGTCATTATGTCTTGACTTTATCAACAGTATCTGAAAATAAACAAATAAAACCCTATAAACGTGTTTAAAATCCTTGTACAAATTTCAAAATTCCTTTAATAAAAATATAATCATCTATGTTTATAGATGATTATATTTTTACTTTTGATTATAAGTAAAGCTCATTTACTTTTGATTATAAGCAGAGTGGAGCAAACATAGATGTGTGTGCAATATTTGATCTACTGAATTCTGATCCACCTTATCTAGAAACATACAAGTTATTAACCATTCTCGTATCAAAAGAAGAGCGGAATTTATAATCACTATTGTGATCTGAAATTGTGAAAACAGAAAATTACTTTTCAGTGTACGCAGATATCTCGTACCCTGTACATGAAACTGGAAAACCAGAAATCTTTACATATATCTACAAAATCAAAAAGTTACTTCAATTTTAATCAATAAAATTTACATAGGGAGCCTAGCTGGACATATAAAAAGAGCTAGAAAGTAGCTCCCTCTCCTCCCTGTCCCATCTCAGCTTCACTCTACTCCATACCATCCCTGCACTCTACCTTGTACCTCTGCCCCGCAAACCCCAAACCAGGGACCTGAAGTGGTCTGGGGAAGGAGGTCAGGGCAGAACCTTCCCTACTTTCTTCTCTATATTCCCATCTGAACCCAAGTTAGAAAGGAGTTGGGCCAAACCAAAAAAGCACCAGATTCTTTTACACATTTCTAAGAAAGTGGTCTTAGCTCTTTCAAAGAAAAAAAATGTTATTATTATGAAGGAATATTACATTTAGTTAATAGCTAGTAATTATGACTAACTACCTCAGAGTGAGGTAATCCATCCAAACTAGTGTCAAACATGTGAAGCTGTTGTGAATCTTAAATTCTCTACAACCTAGATCAGCGGTTCTCTAAGTGTAGTCCTCAGACCAGCATCAGCATCACCTGGGAACTTGTTAGAAACCTAAGTTGTCAAGTTGTGGGGCCCATCCCAGGCCTACTGAACCAGAAATTCAGGGGGTGGGGCCCAGCAATGTGTGTTTTAACAAGCCCTCCAGGTGACTCTGATGCATTCTAAAGTTAGAGAACTCCTTAGTTTGGAACGCAAGACTCCAAACACCAACTTAGGTTTCCTAAATGTTTTCCTAGTGTCCCCTACACCAATCTCATACTGAAAAGAAACTACTTTACTGTTTTCTGAGCAAACTCTATGCTTTCCTACTTCTTCATACCATGCTCCCTATTAGAATATTCTCTTTCCACTTTTATACAATCTTACCTATTCTTGAGGGCCCGATTCAAAACACACATATTCCATGAAGTTGTTCTTTCCCATTGCAGATGCGGCTTTGCCTTACTCTGATTTCTTGTCTCACTCACTCAGCATTTGATAGACACTAAGGTATATTATACTTATCTTTAAAATGCATTAATTTCCAAGATAGACTATGTTACCTGAGGACAAGACCAATTTTTTTCTTAATCACACAGCATCTGGCCTGGTCTCTTCCATAGGTAAGTACTAGGTAAATTTTTATTGATAATGAAATGATAAAACTCTAAAAAGAACGTGTCCCAAGTCTGTGTCTAGGCATCACTATCCTGTTTCCTGATAGTGAATTATCATCCTCACTAGTTAGTCCTGGCATCCTAAATACGGTGGGCCTCAACCTCCAAGACAGTGTGCTCCTCTATCCTCTCGTCCTTATACAATCTGGATTAGTAGTATTTGGAGGCTCGCAGGGCTTTCAAAGGTTATAATCACAAGGCCTTTGGCCATAACTGGCTCAGATAAAGATAAGTGAAAAATCTTTCCTACCAGTATCAGTTTCTCTAATACATTCTTGCACGTTTGCTTTCTGTCACTCAGCACATCCTTTTGCTTCATTAGGACACGGTAGCGGCTGAAAAATTCTTGGTAAGTCCACCTAGAAAAGGAAACTCATGTTAGCTTATTTAAAGAACTGGGAACCTCACCCATTAGGATCATTCACATTTGAAAAATGCCAAGCTCACCGTGAGGGGAAACCTGCTGCGCTGATGCGAATGGTTTCCAGGACACCGCAGGCTCTCAGTTGCTGCACCGCCCTCTTCTCATCAAACCTACGTATAAGAATGAAAATCATTAATACACAAAGAAACCTGGCGAGAGCCACAAATTTCTCTCCTCAGTCCAGAGATTAAATTCTTCTGTAAAGAGCCAAATGAATAAATTAGAAAAGAAAGTATTCAAAGGTTGGGACAATGATCAAAATGGTAAACTCCATGGGAGAGTGGGGAGGAGACAATTAGCAGTAAAAATAAAGAACCATAAATATTATCTATTGTTCATACCACAAATTTATAAGAAATGACACTGAGCATATTTTCAAAAACTCAAATTTCCTCTGTACTTTGCACATACATTACATGGCTTGGCCTCACTAGCCATTCTCATAATTCTTTAGCTCACCACACATAGCTCCGCTGGAATAAAGACTGGCCAGCTCTGGAGATTTCTCTAACAAGAAGAACAAATTAAATATGCTCTCTTCAGTTATTTCTTTTAAAAATTATTGGTGTTCTAAAAACTATTCAATTCAGTGTGTATATACTAAGCATTTATAGTGTCCACATAAATGAAAAATATTTGTTTTGTATTATACCTTGTATATTTTATGTTTATTTCACTCTAGAAAAATGGCATCATAATGTTAAATTGACCCTAAAAGAGGAAGTGGTAAGATCTGTCTCCTGCTGAGTGATCACTGCTCTTTCTCTCCCAGCTAAGCTCTAAGAGAGCCCTCCAAGCCTCTGCTGTGCTATCTTCTCAAGAGTTCTATTGGTGGTGGGATATGGGTTTGGCCGATGAGAAGTAACAGCCTCTAGGGCTGTCCAAGAGAGAGGCGCAGGGCGTGGCACCATCTTCCTGCTTCCCATTTCCTCCAGAAAGGGCTTCTTGGCAACGAGAAGGATATAACAGTCTTTCAGAACTGCCCTGCAGTCTAAGGCAAAAGTCTTCAGAGGCCAAGATTGGCAAGGGTGTAGGGA